ATCAAACCCATCCTCCCCCCCCCGCCTCCAAAACAAAAGAGATTTTTTCATGACGTCACGAGATGTCCGCTGTGTTATTCTGCCTTCATCACATATCCTACAATAATTTCATCTTTTTTCTTTGAGATTCTTCTTCATCTTCGTCATCTTCCTCTTCTTCTTGGAAGACAGTTCTGGGTTGGGTACTACAAGAAAAAAGACAGGCCTTTACGGAGATACTACAAGTTATTTAATGTGATCGACAGCATCGTGACAGTCACGTGTCCGACAAGAGATCATAATGTGGGTGGGCCCAGTTGTTCGAAGACCGATTAACCCTAACCCAGGGTTAAATTTTAATCCAGATTTCCTTATTTCTTTATTCAAGAGCCTTTTTGGGATAATTTCCCTATTCATTTTGGAGCATCCAATCATCAAATTGTAGGCAATAATAATTAAATTGAATTTTCTTTTAAAGCTTTCAGATCCGAAATCAAATTTCACACTAACCCTTGGCTATCTTAACCCAGCTTTGAACAATTCGGCCCTGATATCTTACTGTCCGGCTTAAGACCAGAACACAATAACCCGAAACATCACGCTCTGTACTTAGTGCGTTATTGAAAATCATCAGTTAGAACTGACGTTGACAAAAAGTTGCCGCAATATCTACGTTCGATAATTGCACCGAAACTTGGTAAAACCAGGAGCCAAGAGCTCAAATTGTATCAAACTTACTGTGCGTATGCTGGTGACACCCAGTAAGGATCTTCAGCGGCAGCCTGAGGACAGAAAAACATGAAGTAAGACGGGCACAAACACTTTTCTCCAAACAGACCGACAGAGAGAGAGAGAGAGAGAGAGAGAGAGAGACAGAGACAGAGACAGAGACAGAGACAGAGACAGAGAGACAGAGAGACAGAGAGACAGAGAGACAGAGAGACAGAGAGACAGAGAGACAGAGAGACAGAGAGACAGAGAGACAGACAGACAGACAGACAGACAGACACCAGACAGTCAGGCAGGCAGGCAGGCAGGCGGGCAGGCAGGCAGGCGGGCAGGCAGGCAAGAGTAA